TACGGATCAAAGAGTTGTCTAGAGACATGGTGATAAGCCTCACGGGCGCACGACACCATTCAGGAGTGCAGGGAGAGAAGAGGGTCCAGGCCCAAGTGTGGGAGGATAGCCCAAGACAGGTGTGGGCTCAGATGGGTGGAAAGAGAGGACTGGGTTAGGAAAACAAAGAGAAGAAGGGATACCCAGGAGGAGAGGAAGGCCAGTAGCACCTGGTGTTACAGAGAGGTCAAGAAGGATGAAAACGGGGATGCAGAGCTGGAAGGGATGCTATGGAGTCCACCCCTGCCATTTTACAGATGAGGAACCTGAGAGTGGGAGAGCTTAAATAACTTGCCCAGGATCACACCACTGGTATCTGAGGCAAGAATGGAAGCCGTGCCTTCTTGACTCCAGCCCCAACACTATAACCACTAAGAGTCTAAGAAAAGAGCATTAGATTCATTTATCAAGGACAGACTACAAAACATTGTATTTTTATCATCTGAATTTATAGGATGTGCTCATCTCTATGAGCTCTCTAACAAAGAGAAAACAACCCTTCCATAGGATTTTAAAGGATAAAATCCCACAAAAGAACGATTGGGATAATTCTCCAACAAAGACTGAACTAGGCACAAGGTAAAAGTGAATCGTGCATTTCCTGTAAACATTTTAGCCAGAGCCATCTGGGAAAACTCTCATTCCCTCGTTCCAGGAAACAAGATGTGTCTCAGCTAATTGCAGTAATGTATTGGTACAAACCAGAGGCCGTGTGTCCAGCATCTGGCGAAAGCTACATGAACAATCTCAAGTAAATTCCCTTAAAGGAAGACACGCCGGCTATCTGTAAATGCACCAACACACTTGTGGACAGAAAGATAACCACCTGTAAGGTAATCCATCTTCACACGGTTATTCCAGTCATTTTACATAGATCTCTTACTCAGATCTCTCCTCAGAGCTATCAAAAGCCAGTTTTTAATCTCAACTCAATTTTCCCCCCTGTTGCCTACCATGCATAATTGGGCTGTCTCTTTATGACTATGATTCAGTTCCTTTGTCAACTGATATGTGCTCAGTGAACGAGAATATTTAATGCCGTCTTAAGAAAAACATAATTGGGAAAACCAATCTGCCAAAAATTATATACAGCCATGCATTAAAAAAGATTTCTTTTTTTTTTTTTTTAATCATTTCTGGCTAAATGAGCAGGGCATGCATGGAAATTTCCAAGTGCTTCTATCTGGGGAATCTTGCCCTCTCTTTTCAGATGCCAATGTTCTTGAATGAGAAGGAGAAATGTCTTCTCGTCCCTACTTACAGATTTTTATTTTGTTATATAATCTAATGAACCCTACAGCCAGAACTTCAGGAGCCTCTCTTGAGGATGTCACTGACAATGATTTCGCACCCCGGACAGTCCTTATTTAAAGGGACCCTGCTGGGATTTCCCTTTTCCCTCCTGTGGTGAAGCCTCCCACCTTCCTCTCCCCTCCAGGCACACCAGGGAGGGCCAATAACTAACTGGAAGAGCGAAAATCGGAAGAAAGGCACCAGAAGTTCTGGTGGGGGGTAGGGAGGTGGGAGCACAGGGGACCTGGGCACAGATGGATGATTCTCAAAATTCTGTCTTGATTTGGGATGAGACCAAAGACCGAGGAGCCTTGGAGACTCGTTCAAAGATACTGCTTTGGCTGGTGTCTCACTGTAAGGCGGGGCAGATTTGTGAGCAATAGGAGGGAGCTGGGAGGGAGGGCTCCATCCCCTTCTGCTATCAGAGCTCACTGGGCAAGGCCAGGACTTGGGGTGGGCTGGGGGCTCCTCTCTCAGCTGCCTTGTGTTCAGTGCTGTGAGTAGTTCGGCTTTCCTGTAGCTCTCTGGGGCTAACGACTACCCACTGAAGGGTCTTACGTTTTGTCTTCTTCCTATTAATAAAACTTTATTTCCCCCCTCCAATTAAATATTGTGATCCACCCTTTTGCACATCTTAGGATATGGGTGGGGGTGGGGGCGAGGGTGTGCCTACATTTGTCTAGACTTCCTGGGTAGGGCCCATAAAGCAAGGAAACCCAAAGGCTACCTTTGGGGGTAGGTCCAGGATTATCATTGAGGTACATGGTGAGAGGCAGCCTGGGCGTAGGGGGAAGTATGTTGCATTTGAAGTCAAGAACACGAGGGTTCACTGACTGCCTGGGTAACCTTGGACAAATCGGGACCTCTCTCTGGCCTCAGTTTCCTCATTTGTAAAACGAAGCGATCGGACTGGAGGACCTCCAACGTCACCCCCAGCTCTCTATCTAAGATCTGCTGTCACTGCCTCGTCACGCTCCGGGGCCCAAGGAGAGCGCCATGGAGGTGGCTGGTCAGCATGGGCAGCGTTGGGCCTGTGGCCGGCAGGAAAAGGTGATCAGAAGGCCTGTGCCACCTGAGCCCCTCCCTGGGTCTCAGGGAGAAAGCGAGGCAATGAGACCAGATGGTGTGTGAGGTTCTTCCAGACCCAGGGGCCCTGAGACTACAAGAAGAGCCCGCAGGCTGGAATGGCCTGGGACGTCGGGATCTGCCCAAGGGGGCACCAGAGATGCCTGTGATGATGAAGCTGGCTTGGGGAGTTTTCTGAGGTCTCGCTGCCCTCTAAATTCTGGTACCTGGAGAAGGGGGCAGAAGGAAGGTGGGGTCCTAAATGCCCTGACATTGCTAGTTCTGGAAGAGCTGGCATTTTCCTAAGCAGGAACAGAGAACTATAACTCCTATGGCAAAATGACTGCAGAGGGGAAACAGCCCTTTTCTGCCCCAACACGTCTGTGCCATCAAAGTATGGGCACAGACCTCCTGCTCCCCACCCCCCTCCCAGCCAGGCCTGTGACTTTCCAGAACAGTGCTCCCTCCCTGGCCACCGTGCTCCTGGAGGCCTGCCTTCCCCACAGACTATAAGCTCCCAGGGGGCAGGGCCCCCCTGGCTTTGGTATTATCTCCCTACTTCTTTCATTCACTTGTAGATCCTCAGACAGGGTCTGAGACAGACAGACAGACAGAGCTGTCTCCTGAGGGATTCCCCACAGGAATTCCCTTTATTCGCACTTAAGTAAGTGGGATGCTCCAAGCAGAGCAGGGCACAGGGGAGAGCTTCCTGGAGTGGGCCACTGGCACTCCCAGCAGGGGCCTCCCCTCGAGGACTGATTTCTTTTGTACTTTTGGAGGTTTGGGCAAGAATCTCAGCTCTCAACAGACTTAGTGCTTTGGGGGCTCAGGCTGCAGAGGCCCAGAGACCTGGGCCCCAGATGTCACCAGGCTGAGAACAGGCGGGACAGGCCTAGGCCTGGTGACAGCTTCAGCACGTTTCCAAACAACTGCAAGAAACAAAACCACGCCGCCCGCTCTCAGGGGCCTCGAGACCGGGCAGAGAATCCCTGCACACAATCCCACCCTGGAAGAACCGAATCTTGCTTCTTCCCCTCCACGGCTTCTCTCAAAGCCCCCCCCCCTCCTCACACAACTGACCCCCTGCTCGGACCCTTGTGGCCTTCTCACTGCCGCCCTGCCTCAGTACTCTCCCACTGCCACAAGGCCACTCAACGGTGACCAGGTCACTCTCCTACTCAAGAAACTCTGTGGCTGCCTAGAACTGACTCGGATGAAATACAGACTCCTTGGCTACCTTGGCAGCCTCATTATATATCCCCCCTCCTCCCTGCCCTCCATGGTTCACTCATTCATTATTCCCCCCCTCCCGTTTCTTGCCCTCTATGTTTCATTCATTTATTCCCCCCTCCCTGCCCTCCACAGTTCACTCATTCATTATTCTCCCCCTCCCATTTCCTGCCCTCTTTGGTTCATTCATTCCGGCCTTCTATGGTTCAGCCATATGACCTTGTTCCTCATACATGGCACACCAGGAGCTGCTCCTCCCGTGCTCTGTCCTAACCTTCCTTCCTTCCAAGCTCAGCTCAAGCACCATCCTGAGTGGCCACTCCAGACTCCCCCACCTGCCAGTGCCCTCTGCCTACTCAATCACCTCATATCTAGAATCACAGACCCTGTGGGTCATCTAGTTGAACTCCCTAATTTTCCAGGTGAGGAACTGAAGATTGATGGATGAAGAGACTTGTCACACCACTGGCAACAGCCTAGTTCTGACTCCAAAACCAGCGTATGAAGCAGCCGGGTGGCACCATGATTAGACAAGGTGTCAGAAAGACCTGAGTTCAAATCCAACCCAAGACGCTTATATTAGCTTTGTGACTTTGGGCAAGTCACTTAATTTTCGCCTGCCTCAGTTTTCTCAACTATAAAACGGGGATCACAATAGCACCTACCTCCCAGGGCTGTTGTGACGACCAGTGAAATAATGATTGTAAAGCCTTAGCACCAAGTAGGTGCTTATAAAATGCCTGTTCCCTCTTCCCCTACCCAAGCATGTTCTCTACTCTACCATGTCACCTCCTATCCTGACCTATGGACTGAAATACTGAAAAAGGAAAAACAAAGAGAAACCTGCCAAGGCCAGAAATGGAGTAGAGATTGAGGGGAGATGGGAGTAACGGGGGACTCTGAAGCCCAGGGCACCGCTGCTGTCAACATCTGGTTTTAGCGTTTTTGAGTGGGGGAGGGGAAGCTGGGTGATGCCATGTCTACAGCTTTATATTATATTTAAGTGGTTAAGAGGCCCACCAAAACATTGTAGGAAACTATGATACTTAGAAGGTAGGAAGTGGTTTCATTCTAAGATGACATTTTAAATCAGAAGCACAAGAGAGAACTGGGCAGCTGGATCAGAATTAGGAAGGTTTGCATTCAGCTGTGGAACAACAAAGGCCAGAACACAAGTCTCACCCCGCCACCAGTGACGGTGGTGGGCTGCTGGCCAGCGTCTTGGTTTCCATGAGAAGAGCTGGAAAGCAGATGGGAAGCAGGCTGGATAAACAGGTACAAAGTTCAGCTCTCACAATCAATTTTCCTTTGAAGTTAAAAGTGAGAAGGCCCCAGAACAGACACATGGCACTGGAAATATTTCAGATACCCACCATTTTCACAAGTACGGCGTACTCTTGCTTATTCATGTCTCAGCTACCCGAGCTTCTGGGTTATTTCAGGAGATAAATCATAGCAAAAGAGAAAAAAAGAAAAAGGTATGTGTGACATACTTAGGCTTCAGGCTCCTCCTTCACACCTGACATGCATCTTAACACTGCCTTGTTTGATCCAGACGTAACACCAACCTTATTCCTACCTAACATGTGTTGAGGTTTTATTATAGATGCCCAACCTGGAGGTCAAATATTTTGTGCTGGCTTTAGCAGAGGCATATGGAAGCCTGCTAGAGAGGATGCAGCATGTAAACACATCGAAGAGAAAAGTAGGGTAAACCACATGCTGATATAATTAGTCTGTGGAAATGACTTTCTACACTCTAGAAATGAACATACTAGAAATACAGATATTATTTTCTGTGCCTTTGTCTGTTACATTTTGGAAAAAAAAAGATTCTAGTCTTGCTTGTTGCCCGCTAATATTTAAAGTAAACTTTTTCCCCCAATAAAGCTCACAGGAAAATATATGAATTTGTGTCAGTTTTGGATTGATTTTAGTTTTAGCCTACTTTGTAAAAACAGGATTTTGTTATATCAGTCACATCAGAGAGGTGAAAAGGAAAAACCACGTCTCTGTTAAAAGTCACTCTTGGGTGATCTAGAGATACGCTGTCTTATTTGTCATTTAAATGAGTTTTGACAGACTTGACCTTTTCAAGGCTGTGACATTACATGACTCCTCGGCTGAAGAGATGGGAACAGTCCCTATGGAAATACTGTAAGGGCAGATGAGAGAAGTCCAAGAGAGCTCACCACCCCTAACGATAAACAAGTCAGGAGGCCACCCAGGTCAGTCACCTATGCTAGGGCATTACCAAGTGAACTTGGCTTAGTCCAACTTCCCTGGGATGGGTTCTCTCTTAGATTGGAAGCTTCTTGGGGGCAGGGCTGGTGATGTATGAATTTCTCCATCTCTAGGACACAGCATGGTATCTTAAACATAGTAATTCAAACCTTTATGTGGGTAAAGGTTGAATCAAGTCTTTCCTTCCTGGTCTCTCTAGATAATGTTGACATTCCTTGTATTCTAGACTTCAGTCTTTGTGGCCTGGATTGGGAAGTTGCCACCAAGTGCTGGGGAGGATTCTGGGACCCTGGGGGGGAGCCAGTCCAAGGATATTCTGTTCTTAACCACAGGAACATGGTCAGAATCCAGTTCCATAAAAATTCACTAATTATTTACTAGGGCAGGGCAGGATGCTGGAGCACTCCTGCGATGCAAAGGCAGATATGAGCAGATGTGACAAGGCCCAATCTCAAGGAGTTTACGATCTCCTGGTGGTGAGGCAGGCACAGAACGGATGAAAAGGATGAACAGGGCGGAAGTGGGCTGAGCGTCACGGGCATAAGCGAAGTGAGGTGGGGGCACCTTTGCCTCCTCCTGAGAGTCAGGCCTGGGGAGGGAGGAGAGAGAGGCCAGAACATTCCTCATTACATCGGTGTGATGTCAGACATTTTGGGCATCTGGGACCTCAGTGGGATGAGTGGCCCTTCCCCAGGGTGGTCACTTTTTCTCACTACACGAGTCTTGTCCAGGCTTTCTCTGCTGCCTAGCTGGTGGTCCTCACCCCACCCCAATGTCCCTCTTCCTCTCAGCTTCCTTGCTTTCCCTCAAGACTCAGCTTGAATCCCCACTTCTGCATGAGGCCTTTTCCCACCAGACAGTGCAGGGCAGCTAGGGAGTGTGTCTTTCCTTTCTCTGTATCCCTGGTGCTTAGCACATGGCCATATGCTGGGAGTCCACTTTTCTTTTCTAATACATTCAGGATACTCTTGTAGCATTTGGGCTGCCTGTTTATCTCCGCTCCCAACTTCCCAGAGTCGCTGTGAGCTTGCGCTGCTTCGGCAAGCCTGGAAACTCTGCAGAGCGTCCTCTAATATCCAGAGCTACTGTCAAAAGTCTGTCCTAACTAGATACACAAGGACAGTAAACTGGATAAATAACAATGACAACGATGATAGCTAACATTTATAGAGTGTTTCCTGTGTGCCAGGCACTGTGCTAAGAGCTTAGAGATTGTCTGTCGTCTAGACTGTAACATGCACTTGAATGGACTGCTAACAGAGGTCATCGATCTACTGACCACAGGCCTTGGACAGAAACCACAAATGGACACTGCACTGGGCTGAGAACTGAAACTGAAGGAGAGAGGTCGGGACTGTTCTGGTGAGACTGAAAGTTCTCTGGTGTATGTTCCCCAGGAACAAAGGCTTATCTATGAATTATCTCAGCATTCTTCTAGTGGTGATGTCTGGGGGTGAGTCATTGAATATGGTGGCTTTTACAAACCAGCCCGGAGGCCAGCCCAAAGGCTGACAGAGATGGCCCGGTGGGCCTAAACAGTTCTAGCTGACACATCACAAACCAGGAATTACGGAGAAGCAGCGAAATTGTCAGAGAACTGGACGACTCAGAAAAAAGATGGGCTGGTCATGTAGTAAGAGAACGAACTGATGGATGGGCCAGTGGTCCACTGGTATTGACGAAATGTCAAAGGAACGGAGGAAAGCTCTCAGGAAGTTAGGTGGACCCTCTGTGGTAATCTCACAAGAGGACAAAGGTGAGAGGCCAACAATAGGGAGCAAGATGCATTATGGGAAGGAATGTCCAAATCAATGACCTCACAGGCCCACTGGGTCACCCAAGTTACCCTTTTGGGTTCCCTAGAAATGGGAGTCATTCCTCAGTCTCAGGAAGTCGAACCCACTTCCTTTTCCAATACCTTTGGTGATGGTCAGATGCAGCCCCCTGTGCACACCTGTGTGCAGCCTGGCCCTCATGACCCTGTCTTCTGGTGCCCTCGAAGCCTAGCAGGTCCCCCTTCGCTCAGGGTGAGGTCTCCCTTCTTAGGCTCACTTTTTCCTTTCTGACTCTGGTTCTTCCAAGATCTCATTATCTCATGATCCCCTCCATTATGGCTCCAGCCCAGCTCCCTACTCACTGGCTGGTCTAATAGCTCTTATTTAGACAGAGGCACTAGATACCCCTTCTAAAGTCTTAGCCTCAGGGTCCAATCCCTTTCCTATGTCTCTGTGACAAGTCATGGCCCAAGCTCAGATCCCTTCCTCCTGGAAGTAGATTGTTCCCAAACCATTAAAAAATCCAACCCCACAGTAACTAAACTTAATGCATGGGTGTGGAGGACAGTTACTGTGGCCTTGCCTCCCAGGCCCTTTTCTCCCATAGTCCAAAAGGTCACCCCTCCTCAGAAGGCTTCTGGGGCGGCCTTCCAGCCCCTTCTTGGGGACCTTGGGACACAGGCAGTAATTTGCACATCTGTAAAACTGACGCTTTCCTCTGAGGACTGATGTCTTTTCAGAAGGCACTAATTACATACCATTTTTATTAAAATCAACTGAGATAATGTATGCAAAGTGCTTTGAAAATCTGAAGCTATTATCAGTTGTCTGAAAAGGGAAGAACAATATAGAAATGTCTGGGCAAGGGTGTGGGACTCCTATGGGAACCTAGAAAGACAATTTTCATATCCTGTCAAATGAATGTCGAAATATGTGGCTCTAAGATTCCAATGCATAACGTGGTTAGGAGATTGTTACCCTCTGCTGCCTCTGACTCCTGGCCCCTCAGGGCTACTCACCATTAGAGAAAAAAGGCCAGGATTGATGGAGAACTAGATTTAAAAAAAAAAAAATCAGACCTGCCTGACAAGGAAAATCCCTTTACCAATACAGATAGTTGGACACTTGTCTGCAAGTTAAGAGTCTTACAGCATTGTCTTGGGCATTGAAAGTGACTTGCCCAGGGTCACACAGCCAGGATGGAACAGAGGTGGGGCTTGGCCCTAGGTCTTCAAACTCATTCAATCCCCTGTGCCACACTGTCTCTCTCCAATTTTTTTTTAAACTAGGGTTCTCAGCAGCTTATTGAAGGCTCACTTTTAAATTCTACTTTATAAAAATAACCTTATATCTTAATACAAATTTCAACTAATCGCATGGTCCCTTATGAGGCCAGATTTCACAGGACAATAACGATTTCTCTTGGTTTGAAAGTAACGCCCCTTGGCCAGACCCAATTCCATCATTCCCAAGAGTCAGTATTTTCATGTAAGCATAGAAGTGTCAGAGATGGTGGCATAAAGGTCAGCCTTCTGGCATGAACCTGAAAGAGTCCACAGAAAATCAGGGCAGTGTATTTTTAAACTGATGGTCTTGTAAATATATACAGTCCCGGTTTTCTATGCCAATTGTCACTCCATCACCTGTTACAGATGCTCTGGTGATGTTGGAAAGCTAGCCCAGGCCGAGTAGCCCGAGGCCAGGCTAGAAATGAAAATCTTGGAACTTCATGAAATCTCTTTCAAGTACAACTTTGTAGTGGTTGTTATCTGTAAAACAAGGTTTTGAAGACCCTAGAATGCTGACATGTGGAAAACTGATCTTTTGAAAGTGGATACAAATTACCTGGTGAGCTTGCAGTCTGTGCCAACATCACTAGAGAACCAGGCTATAGACTAAAACAAGAGGTAAGAACCCCCTTATTAAAACTGGGTCAAACTGGTCAATCATGGAGATTTTTATGAAAAGTACTTTGTTTTAGGATAACTAGGACTTGATAACATAGAGTTTACAAAATCTCTTGATGAAAATTCATTTTATACACAAACTTTTTAGTGGCTTCTTATAATGAAAAATATACTTGAATGCTTGAAATTCAAAGGAATCAAATGACTTCTAAAATGATGTTTGCTCTTTCTGCCTTAAAAAAAGTACCTATGTTTAAAACAGAATCCCTCTCGGCATCCAAGTTAATTAATTGCTTAATTACATAGGTCTCCTCTCATAAATAATTCTACAAATTTTCTACTAGAATCAATGTTTAGTTTGAAACTTAAAAAACCATACAAATGACATCTCATATTCTAATAAACCTTTAAGAATATTACTAAAATTTAAGTAAACCCAAGAATTTTTATATTTTCATTGATTCAAGACCCATAAAGCCAGCCCCCAGAATAGCTTTTAAAAGTTTCATCTCATTTTAAGAAACATATTTCCAAGTCTTTTCTTGGTGGGTCAGACCACCGGATTCTGGGCTAAAATGGTTCCTCCAGGGTAATTAAAGTAAATACTTTCTACTTGAGCACGAATTTCAACACTTGCAGGAATACAACATCAAACTGAGAATATGAAACTCAAAACTGAAACTACCCTGCAGAGTGTGTTCCGTCCCAGACACCATCACCAGACTCAGCTGTGTAAATTTCGAATGCTAGTGGTACAAAACAGCAACTGAGACCCGATTTCTTAAATAGTCCAAGTCAGTCTTTCCATCAGAGCTTTAGAGATCCTAAGAGAACCTTGGAACTCCCAGTGCTGGCCAGGGCTTTGGTGACCACCCAGCCCAAGCCTGTCACTTTGCAGACAGGCAAGGTGAGGCACAGGGTTGTTGTGACTTGCATAGACAACCTGATGTAGAGATGGATCGTTTTTGCTTTTTTTTTTTTTCAAGGAATATACAAAGTCATCAGCATCGGCCGTTGTAACCTTGATGAGTTAACTTCCTGGAAGCAGTAACTTGTGACTGAACCTAGGTGCTGAACTTAAGAGCTCCTCAGAGCTCTGTCCCTGATCCTGTCCTGGGGTCCCCAGGTAGAAGAGCTTGAGCTGCCTACAGATGGTCAACAACGTCCCAGTCAACCACCAGAAGGCAGTGGCTTCATCTTCTGACCTTCTCCTGCCTTTGGGACTCTATAGGTAAATGTATACAAAAGGACACCAGGACATCCACTCTGGGACGGATTCGAGCTTCTCCACTGTTGCTAAACAACCCAGTGAATCCCCAAAACAGCGGTGCTTTAGGCTGTTGCTTTCACACATTTACATCTTAAGCTTCTAATTTACCAAGAAAGACTTACAGAAGTTTTACTGTTAAGAACAAATCATTTATAATAGCACACCAGAATATCTTTACTAGTTTAATCCCATTCTAAGCTACCTCATCTTTGTTATCAAAATATTATTATTATCATATATTATATTATCATAAAAATAAACTAAACATGTCTCAATCATCTATACTGGCCACCCAAAATGGTTTCTAAACCTGGGCACACACCTGACTCTCCAAACTGATTTATAGGGTAAGCGCATGTAGATGACATTGATTCATCCAAGATCTACGTATTATTCTTGGATATGATATATTATATATTAGCTTCTGGCTAATAAGTAAGATAGCAAAGAGAAAGCTTTTGAGGTTAGCCCCTAATACTTGAATGTCCCTTTTTTACGCATTTCCCCTTTTTTTAAATCAGAGGGATTAAAAGTGCTACACTGGACTCTGCTGGTTCCTGTTGCTTTTTCTTTCGAAAGCTCTGCCAGGCTGTCTAACTCTCCGGGGGAGCACCCCCAAATCCAGCTGGGAGCCGTGCTCCCAACACAAAGTTAGGCTAAAGAAGCACATCTGTTGACAGGAATCAGATACACTTACCAGCGAAGTTTGCCGGAGGAGCTAGAGCAGTAAAAGAAAATTCTTCCTGCCTGCGAATGACTAATATAGGCAGCCCAAGGTGCAACTGAAGGCGGTCCCAAAGGGCCTGACTAATCCCTGTGCAAAACAAACAGTCCTGGGCCACACGTAGTCAGCAACGCTTGTACTTTGTTGTGCTCAGGGACGGAGCTGCCTCCTCTGGCTGGGAGGGAGCATTTGCTACATTGACAAGGAGTCTGGGCAGAAAGATGCAAACCTGGACTCTTGAGGCATGGGAAATGGACTCCACACAGAAAAAAGTTCCCTTGGTTTACTGATCGTGCAAAAACATTAGGGGAATTGGTGCATTACCAACATTAAAAAGAAAATGGCAAACTTTTAAAATAAAAGATGTAGTAAGTATTTTCACCATTTAAAAAACACTAGCCGTGTTTTGCTATAAATAGTAATGTTGCAATAAACTGATACTTATGTGTCAGGACACAGGAGATAAGAGTGGATATGCACTCACCCTCTCTCAGCAGTTTTATCATTGGGGCACTGCCAAGTTACATTTCTGTAAACAGAAATCTAGCCCGAGCATTTTTTCAGCTGTCAAAGGCCACAAGCATACTTGTTTATGTTGAATGTTTTAATAAACTACATATCATTAAATTATGCTATAGTTTCCATTTATAGTTTTTTTTTTGTTTTGGTGAGGCAGTTGGGGTTAAATGACTTGCCCAGAGTCACACAGCTAGTTAAATGTTATGTGTCTGAGGCCACATTTGAATTCAGGTCCTGACTTCAGGACTGGTGCTCTATCCACTGGGTCACCTAGCTGCCCCTTATAGAAGGTTTCTAACAATGCTACAGTGAACATCTTGCTTTTAACACACATTTCCCCAGTGAGAATGGACACAGAGAATCTCTGAAGCTCCCGGCTGGATGGGACCTGTTGGGGTTAAGTCCGGCCCACACCCTCAACAACATCCAGTCAGTGATGGGACGCAGCGTCCACTGGCCCATCTCCAGTGGCAGGGGCCAGCCGGCCTTAGGGATAGGCCGTTACCTTCCTGGAGTGCTCTAATTGCTCATTAGTCCTTCTCCATCTTAAAATCACTTCTTCCTGGCGGTAGCCTCCACCCCAAATTCTTCCTAAAGTGGCCCAGCCAGAACAGACCTCATCGCTCTTCTGCTTGGCCATTTGGAAGTATCTGAAGACCCTCTACCCCCAAAACACACACCCAAGTCCTCTTCTCCCAAGGCTAAACCCACCATCACTTCCTTCAACTAGCCTTCATCGGTTGTAATTTGTATGAGACACAAAGCGAGGAAGCAGAGCTAGCATACCTCGATACATTTTAGCGCTCACAACACTGGGAGGTGGGTGCTATCATGATTCCCATTTTATAGCTGCCGAGACTGAGGCAGACCGAAGTTAAGTATCTGAAGAAGGATTTGAACCCACCTCGTCCTGACACCGGGTCTTGACTTCTCTCTAGGCCTGGGCAGAGGGACAGAGATAGAGATAGAAACTGTGCTCCTTGGTACAGGGAATTCCCAGATGAGAGAACTCTTTCCATCAAGGCAGGTCAGCGCCTTCACTGACCCTCCAGTACTGGCAGGTTAAGAGGCTTGTCTGGAGTCACTCAGCCACTGTCAGAAGCTGTACCTGAACCCAGGCCTTCCTGACCCTGACACTGCCTCTTACTACAAAGCAGGTCCCCTCTAACCTACAAAAAGTTCAAAGAAAATGCACAGTCACAGCCGCACTTTTTGTGGCAGTAAAGAATCGGAAACAAAGTGGGGAATGGCTCATGAATATAATGTAAAGATTACTATGCCATAAGAAATGACAAAGATGAGAGATGTGGAGAAACCTAGGAAGACTCACGCCCAGTGAACTGATGCAAGGTAGAGGGCATTCAGACAGGAGAAAGAGGAACACAATGCCGAGAGAATACAGAAGACGACAAGCATAAAGGGCAGGAGCCCTGTGGCTGGCTAATCCCAGCTCCAGCAGGCTGGGAGTGAGTCACGCTCCCCACCTGTTGGCAAAGTGCGGCCCTGTGGGGGCAGAAAGGCAGGGCCAGTGCGTGCTCTGACAAGCCAGGGCTTCTACTGGGGGTCCTGGGGGAGCGTCTGGGTGGCCACAGGGACGTCCAAAAACCAAACCAAATGGAAAACAGACAAGCAGACAGAAGTTCAGAAGGGACAGGCAAACAAGGCAGTTTTGTCATTATCATGCTATAGTTAATGTAGCCTTTAAAAAAACAAACCACGTAATACAAGTCAATAGTTTCATTGACAATCCTTTTTCTATTCTTTGTATACTGAAATCATGTTTGTGAAGTTTATAGAAAGAAAATAGAATTTAAATAAATAAGCATTAGGCCTAAGAAGGTTATAGGCCTACCCACTGGATCTAGTCCTGGACAGCCACCAGGTGGGAATGAGGACAGCCAGAGGACGATGACCATGCATGGGGAAGGCCTTGAAATTGTGCCGGATGGTCAGCTGAAGAGCTGGGGGATATTTAGCCTGAGGAAGAGAAGATTTGGGTGGAAAATGCTCCCTGTTTTCAGGTATGTGGAGGCCCGCTGCCCAGAAGACAGACGGCTTATTCACTTGGGCACCAAAGGAAAGAGCCACAGGTTGCTAGACTTCAGGAAAGGAGAGCCATCCAGAAGCAGGACAGATTGCTTCGATTTCCCATTTACTGCAGGTCTTCAGGACAAGACTGGCCGAGTGCTTTGGGGGTCGGTGGTGGAGCCGTGATGTGGGCTCGATGACCCCTGAGGTCCCTCCCACTCTCCGGTTCTGTGCTTCTGGTTTCTAGGCCCCTCAGTGATGGGTCATCCTTGTCTAGACATGCTCTGGTTTCCAACCAGCTAGGAAGCATCACCGAGATGAAGTCGTCCTTGTCCGCAAGGAGTCTTCGGTCTTATGGAGGGTGGTGCTGATAGCGACACGCCTGTCTCACGTGAAGAGGTGCCCTTTCTCCTTGCCAAGGTCACTAACCCTTCAACATGCACCTCAGATCCCATCCAATGCCGTCTTCTCCAGCGGATGGATCACCCTTCCTCTCTGCACATTTTAACCTTCAGTCTTTCCCTGGACATCACCGCCTCCACGTCACCTGTGAATGCGTCCATGCCCCCCACACTTACAACTGATGCTACCATTGTGGCTGGCTCTCCTTCCCTTCTCAGATAAACCTTGAAAACGCTCTCTACATTTGCTGTCTCCTCTCTTCTGAAGCCTCAGCAGCCAGGCTTCAGACTTCCTTATTTTCCTGACTCTCTCCTCCCAAGTCCTCAGTGATCTCTGCACGGCCTTTCCTGAATCCTCATTCTCCTCACTCTCTGATACCATTGGCTGCCCTGTGCTCTTGAATAATCTCCCCTTCTAGGCTTTCATGACCCTGCTCTTGCCGAGTTCTCTTCCTGTCTATTTGATGGTTTCTTCTCAATCTCCATCCTGGCCATCCCCCCTAACTGTGAGGGTCCCCTAAGGCTCTTCTCCCTTTAGGCCACCTCATCTGGAGATCTCCTCAGCTTCCATGGACTCAACTATCATCTCCAGGCAGATGATGCCAAGACCTGCATATCCGCCCCTCCCCCCTCCTGACCCCAGCCTCACATGGCCGACAGACTTTGGGCCACCTCACACACATCTGAAGCAGAATATGTTCAAGTATGACCTCGGTATCTTTCTCCCCAAAGCCTTCCCTCTTCCTAACTTCAAAGGCACCACCACATTCCCAGTCATCTGGGCCCACCACCTTGTGTCACCACCCCCATATCCCCTCCATCACCACGTCCTGTAAATTCTGCCTTCCTGGCCTCTCTCCCGTCTCCCTTCTCTCCTCTGCCACTGCCCCACTGCAGGTCCTCATTCCCTCACACCTGACCCACAGCCTCCTAGTTGGCCTTCTGACCTCGTCTCCAACTCTCCAACCGCTCCAAACCACCCCACCATTCACCTGCCAAACTGAGGTTCTGACCAGGGCACACCCCTAGTCAATAAGCTCTAATGGCAACCCCTTCCCTCCAGAATCAATGGAAACGCTGCCTCCTAAAGCCCTCCATAAGCGGGCCCCTTCCCACCTTACTCACGTCTACCCCTAGAGGCCTCTCTGCTGCCCCTCCCCCATGGACTCGAGGCCTTTTGGTCGTCTGCCTCCCATGCCTGGAATGCTCTCCATCCCCTCCACCACCGCCTGGCTTCCTCTAAGCCTTAGCTCAGATCCCACCTTGCGCAGGAGTTCACTTCCCAGGCGCCCCCTCCCCCAGTCACCACCCATGTTGTCTCAGTGCTACCTAGTTATTTACATGCTATCAGCCCCTTTAGAATGGGAGCGCTTTTAAGGAAGGTGCTGGGTTTTTGTCTTCCTCTGGATTCCAAGCAATTCGCATAGTATCGGGCACATAGCAAGCACCTGAATGCTTGTTGACTGACTGCCTGATGGTCACAGAAGCAAAACCAAGGTGAACTGAAAGAAGGAAGGAGCCCAGAAAGCGGAGGTGGGGCCGGTCAGGGAAGGCACCAGAGAACAGGTGGTGGGGAGCCGAGTGAAGGACGGAAGGAGGAAATGAGGAGGGAACACATTCCAGGGACTCGGGCTGGCTTGTGCAAACCAGAGGCGGAATGCCAAGTATGGGGAACGACCGGGAGTCATCTCTGAAGGGAGGGGCTGTAGTCACGTGTCACTGGCTCCCCAGAAGTCAGGGAAGACCTTGTCAGGGCACTGAGGGCCTGTCAGGGCTTCCCCTGCGCCAGGCTCTGGGCTGGCCTTGACCTTTGGCCCAAGAGCTGATCTCCCAGAGAGGGAGCTGCCGGGAGGGCCGGACAGTTGGCCTGTCTACGGAGGCAGCGGGAACAGGAGTCTGAATCGTGGCGTTAAGATTCAGGACAAAAGCCATGGCTGCTCTGGGGCAAAAAGAGGCCGTAACGAGAATGAATTTCACTCTCTGCCCAGGGCCTCTGCCCAAAAGCTGTAAGCCTGTAGTAATGGGATCTAGATACTCCTGGGTATAACACAGCCAGGGCCTCTTCCTCAATACCCTCCCCCCTCCCCCCTTTCTAGGAAGACGAACAGCCTTGAAATGGGTCCAGGGAGTAGCTAATTGGTACAGAGCCTTTTCTGTTTGCCAAGTGTTTTACATATATTATCTCCTGGGATCCTCAAAGTAAGCCCTGGAAGGTAGACACCATTACCCCATTTTACAGAACAGGAAGTTGAGGTGTAGAGTGGTTTACTGGCTCACCCAGGGTCACCCAGCTCTGTGTGAGGCCGAATTCAAACTTAGTTCTTCCTAACTCAACATGCAGCGCTTCAGTTCACGATCGACATTTATGCCCTGAATGGAGG